CTGCGGCAGGTTGGTTTGTTTTATTTGGGCTCAAATATCTGGCTTCATTTGGAGATAAGGCTGGTTTTGTTGGAGGATAAATGTGTTGAGAAGGGGTTTAACTGTTGAAATGCTCCCTCTTTCTGGTGCAAATGGGAAGATTGCCTTTCAAAGTGCTTTTTCCTGGGAGCTGCGGCTCTGGCAGAATCCTGTATTTATTTCGGGCAGAATGGCACATTGTTTTATAAATATCTTTTCTGTAGTTTCAACATAGCTGCTGGTTGTTGTGTTTCTTATATAATGCCACCCGAGATCTGTCTGACTATCTCGCCTTTGCTTTACTGCTCACTCCTCAACCATTACCGTTCAGATTTTCCTGCACGAAGTAAAACCCCCGGGGGAATAAATCAGTGGTGCTTATTTAAACAGACCACAACTTGAAGAAAACGCTTGCATTTTTGGAATATCTCTTTTGCTATCCGCCGGTAGCATTTCCCACGTTGTTTGAAGGCATCGATAAGTAATTTTTATAAGCGATTGCTTTTCCCCGTCGGCTCTCGGAGCTTAGCTCGGAGCCTTTGATGTCGGGCGAGGTGGGTTCCTCTGCTTCTCCCTGCTTTTGGTGAACTGTCTAAAAACGCTGTGCCTCTCTCCCTGCCTTCTCTGGTTTTTTTTCAGATGTGCCCTACTTTGGATATCCCTGCATTGAATGTCTGAGGAGCTCCAGCCGATCCTGAGCCATGTCGCAGATGTTGCACATAGAGATTCCCAACTTTGGGAACACCGTTCTGGGCTGCCTGAACGAGCAGCGGCTGCTGGGGCTCTACTGCGATGTCTCCATCGTGGTGAAGGGCCTACTCCTAGAAGCCCCCGCGGGCGCTCCCGCCCCCCCCCAGCCTCTACTTCCGCGACTTGTTCAGTGGGAACAGCAAAAACGCTTTTGAGCTGCCGGGTACCGTCCCTCCGGCTTGTTTCCAGCAGATCCTCTCCTTCTGCTACACTGGGAAGCTGACGATGGCGGCGAGCGAGCAGCTGGTGGTGATGTACACGGCGGGTTTCCTGCAGATCCAGCACATCGTGGAGAAAGGCACGGACTTGATGTTCAAGGTCAGCTCTCCCCACTGTGACTCTCAGACCACCATGATCGAAGACCCCAGCTCGGAACCGCAGAGTCCCTGTAACCAGCTCCAGTCGGCCTCGGCGCCCTACGTCATGTCCCCCTCCATGCCCATCCCGCTCCTCACGCGCGTCAAACACGAGAACCTCGACCTGCAGGCAGCTGCCCTGCCCGGCCTGCCCGCCAAGCGGCCCCTCGAGCCCGGCGCCCGGGAGGGGGCTGGTGGTGGTGGTCCCAACGCCGGTCCCCTGAAGCTCTCCCGTGTCTCCTACTATGGGATGCCCAACCTGGCCACCCTCATCCCCAACGTCCAGCAGGTCCAGTACTCGCAGGGGGAGCGGACGAGCCCCGGTGCCAGCAGCATTCCCACCACCGACAGCCCCACCTCCTACCACAACGAGGAGGATGAGGAGGACGACGAGGCGTACGACACCATGGTGGAGGAGCAGTACGGGCAGATGTACATCAAGTCCTCGGGAGGCTACTCTGGTAATGGTCGGGCTCTCTCCGCGGGTTTTCTGCTCTCCAGCAGTATGGTCCTTCTCCAGCCGGCATGAGTAGTTTTTGGGGTTGTTCATCAGGGTTTGGGGTTTGTGTAGTGCAGAAAGTGATACACGTGGTGGGCTTGGTGCTGGTGTCCAGGTGTGGCATGGGCTGGTCCTCCCGTGCCATCGCTCATGGGCTGTGTCCCCAGTTGAGATGCTCTTGAGATAAGAGGGGCTCCATCCTCCGCCCGTTGGCTTGGCCCTTCACTCCTTGGCTAAGGCTGCCAAGGAGCCTGGTGGCTCTGTGAGCTGGTGGTGGTGACACCCATCCCATGGCAGTGGCTGGGCTCCCCTGCCGTGGGTCATCCAAGAGGGATGGTCATCGTGGGGAGGGAAGTGTGAGCCCTTGGTGGCCCAGCGGGGCTTAGGTCCGTCTGGGAGTTAGTGCTCAGCGAGGTGCAAGGCATGTTCCCTCTGTCCTGCCCTTTTAGAATGAAACTTTTTAAAAAAGGGATGACCATATGACATTTGGAGGAAGGGAGAAAAACATCAAATAAATAATTTTTACAGATGATGTTAATTAGGAATATCTGCAGAAAGGAGAAAAGAAAGACCTTTATCTCCACTGGCTGCAGTGTCTCCCCTGTTCCTTTGCCAGCCTTGCCCGGCACATCGCTGTCACAAAGGGAAAAGCAATCCTGGGCAGGTGATGCTCGCAGCATCCCAGGCAGGGCTTGTCCCCGGGGCAGTGGCCTCCCCGTCGGAGCTGCAGGTGTTTTTGGCGGCAGCTTTGATCCACAGGCGCTCCCCGGGGAGGGACATCGTCCTGCCGGCACTGGCTGCACAGAGCATCCTCTGGCCTGGAGCTGCTTTCCCCGCCATGGTTCTGCGCTGGAATTGATGGACTAATTTTACAAATATTTAACTCTTGTTTGGTGAAGAGCTGGCACGCTTTCCTCAAAGCCGTTTGATTTTATTCTTAAGCAAGGGAGAAGATTTGACAGCTATGATCGTTGCTGTTAGCTAAAGCCAGGCTTTCCCTAGGACTGAGAACGGGCTCAGCCCCACACGCTGTCCCATCCCATCCCATCCTATCCCATCTTGTCCCATCCCTTCCCATCCCATCCCAAGAGCAGGAGCCCAGTGTCCCCTTGGCACCACGTCCCCCTGCCAGGTAACAAGCAGATAAGGGATATTTTCCAGACGTTTTTACCAAGCCATGTGCAAAAGAGGGAAAGCATCCTGGGAGCAAAGTTACTATTTTAATATTAGAAATATTTGGTGAGAAAAGTGGACAAGCCAGGTGTAGAAAATGAGCCTCAAAAGCCTGTGTGCTCTGTGTGCCCTGCTCCAAGCCCCAGCGGGCCAGGAGGAGTGGGGTGGGGGGACTGGGACGGGGTCGGGGTCTCCTCCGTGGCTGTCCCCCCAGCAGGAGCAGGGCTCCACGCCCCGGCTGCTGTTCAAGTCAGACTGCGCAGAGATCAGGTTGGGTTTTTTTTTTCCCCACACCCTGGTTTTGTTTTTATTTTGCTTTCCCCACCATGGAGCGTGGGGTGAGTGATGGGGGTTTGCCCTCAGCGCCGGGGCTCGCAGCGTCATTCCTCAGAGCAGTGGGATTATACCCTCGGACACAGGTTTTTCCTTCCCTGTCGCGGGGCCGGTTCGTGCAGGAACAGAACAGAAGGAATTCAGAAGGAGAGGGCAGGACCGTGAGGCTGCACCTAATTCCTGGGGTGCAGGCATCATCCCAGTGGGAAAAGTGAAAATACGAGCGGCTTTTTCAGGCGTCGCTGGTGATGCTGCAGCCGTCCAGCCCTCGCGCCGGAGCCGGGCGTCCCACAGCAAAGTTTCCAACGGGGTTTCAGCAGGGGGAAGGCTTGGACAGGGTCAGGATGCTGATGCCGGGCAGGAGTGTGGCACTGCGTCTCTAAGGCTCTGATATTCCACATTTCTGCTGAAATCTCTCTTCCTCACCAGCACATTCAAGGGAGTTTCCTGTTTTAAATAAGCCAGCTATAGTATCAGGCTTCCTGGAAAAGAGGGAACACAAAAAAGAGATTAAAAAATATAAAACCTTAGCTTATTCCATTATGGTTTGGACTTGTACAGCTAACTGTGTTTTAATTACTCGGGATAAACTGTACCCTCAAAAGGTGCAGAAGAATAAAACCATAAGATGGAAGAGAGACGGCAGCTAATCCTGCTGCTGGCATGGAGATCCCGCAGCCTCCCAAAGCCCCGGGGAGGGGGCAGCCCTTCAAAAGAGGGATTGCCAAGGTTTCCAAGAGCCCCGTTCGTAAAAACAAAAACAAAGACAAAGAAGAGCACAGCAGATGAAGCCCTGAATTTCAGAGACGGGTTGGTTTGGGGTTTTTTTCTTCCTTTTTCTCCACTTTTTCCTTCCCCAGCTGATGCAGTGACTGAGCCCATCCTGGTGAGCGCACGGTGGGATGCTGGGGGGCTGATGCTCTTTGCTTTCCTGAGCATCACTTGCCTCGAGCATCACCTGCCTTGAGCATCATCATCCTCCTCTGCTCCCGAGGCCAGGGCAGGGCACTCGGCAGGACGCCGCCGAGCCTGGGGGCTCACTAAGCCTCTTCTTGACCCAGGGCTGGGGTTTTCTTAAAAATTTATTTTTGTTCACCCCTTTTTATAATCAGAACCAGACTGTATCTCCAGGGCTGGGGTCAGACAAGGAGCATGCCATCGCCTTGGCCAAGGGTTGGATGGTGGAGGAAGGATGAGGAGGAGGAGTCTGGTTAAGTGATGTCCCTCTGGCAGTGGTGGCACTGGGGTGATGGCCCCGGACACGGTGGGACCTGCAAAAGGAGCAGCAGAGAAATGGCAGGATAAGCCCAGCCTTCAACACGGGCGGACGGGAGGGTTAGGTTCAGGTGTCGGTGGGCAGGGTGGCAGCTTGCAGAGGGATGTAGGAAAAGGTGCGTCAGCTCCCACCGGCCTCTGGCCGCGTTCGGTGGCCTCAGTGTCACTGCCACCATCCCCGCGCCCGCCTGCTGCTGGGGCAGACTGGGAGGAAGGTGGTGAAATGGCTCCTTGCTCTGTAACCGGGTCTGGTTCTGGAGAACATGCGGGCCTTGAGGACACGAGTGAGACTTAATGAGCTGATCTGAGCAATGCACAACTCCAGAAAGTATTAAACAAAAGCCAAGTATTTTTATCCTCGTTAATTACAGCGTCGTGGGCCTGAGCTGAAGTGGGTTGCAGCAGGACTTGCAGATGCTCGGCGTTTTTTCTGCACGGAGCCGCGTTCTTGTCAGTCAGCTTGCTGCTTAGCAGATGCAGTTAATTTAATTTTGACAGTTGCGCGAGGGTCCAGCCTCCTCCCCTGCTCCTGCCGCGGCGCTTTGCAGGGGAGAGGAGAAATCCTTATGCAGCAAATGGCTGGGATGGAAAGGCTGGGCTGGAAAGTTGTGGCATCCCGAAGTGACAAGAGCACACTTCATTAAAAATTCATCTAAAATAGCCATTATAGAACAGTTGGGGTCATTAGCTGAGAGAATAGTTTTCTCTCCTGGCCTCTGATTCCTGACAGTAAGGCAGGAGGGTAGGGAACAGCCCAGAATCCGTGATGAGCGGCTCCGTGCAGCATCCCGGACCGAGCCTGGGAACGCCGCGCTGCAGCGGTGGAAATCACGGCTCGCCACGCCGGATAATTGCAGCTGTAATAAAATAGCTGCTTCCAACGTGGGAACAGCGACCTGGCCCCACGAGGACCGGGGCCATGCAGCAGTCGGTGGGATGCTGTGCTGCACACGGGGGATGCTCGCGCGCAGAGAGACGGGGGGTTTAGGAAATAATCCGGTCCAGAGGGGATGCCCTGTGTGTTCAACAGAATTTTCCTCTGGCTTCTCATCGAGGGTTGCAGACAGCCCCGCTGCTGGAAGCGCTGCCGCGTGCTGATGGGAGCCGGCCGGTGTCACCCATCCCGGCACGGGGACGGTGCAGGCCGCGGCGCTGGGTGGCCGGAGGAAGGCAGAGCCCCACGGCGGGGGCGTGCAGCCTCTGGCCTTTTTTGGCATTAAACTTCCAGCCCTGTTTTCCCCACTGTAAAACACAGATGTTTAATTTTAGGCTGGCAGATGTTTCACTCCTGGCTGAGGTCTGAAGCGAAGGCAAGATAGAGGTATTTATAAACCAGTGATATTTTTCCTATACTAATTCCAGATTACCTCCCTGTATAAATAGGTCACAAATCAAATCTCTGCATTCCAGTCCGTTGTTATAAATGTACTATTTGTAAAACATAAACTATCCCGGTTGGGACTACATCATATATCTGCCCCGCGGTGCGTGCGTGTGTCCTCTGTGGTCCAGGTTTACGTAGGCAGGCGCTGGCCACACCGGGGCTGCGGCAGGGATGCTATTTTTGGGGTAGTCCCACTGCCAGTGGAAAATAGGCTAATGGGATAAAAATGTTTGAAAAATATTGCTATTTGAAAAGAAACCTCTTGCCATGGAAGAACAGAGGAGAGTTATCCACATGTTTGCATAGGTGGCGGAGCAGATGGAGATGGTTTTATAGCCATTGCGGTGGACCAGGGCTCGTGACTTGTGGCTTCGTGTTGTGGCTCTGTAAATGTTCATTTTTGGATGAGAGTCCATCACTCTGATCCTTCTGTATCTCAAAATCCCATTCCTAAACCAGAAATTGTTGTTTCTTACCCACGGGAGTACATTGAAGTTTTTATCCATTTACTGGTCAAGGGGAGAACCCAGACTGGTGGGAACTGGGGGTTCATTAATAATTTTGAAGCCCTGGTGTTTGGATTGTCAGGAACTAAGGAAATCAGTGAACAGTGGTGCCAGGTGTGTGGCCAGCAATTCCCAGCGCTGCCAGACCCTGGGCACGCACCCGAGCAGCTTGTTGCCCATCATTGATGAGGGTCAACAGGAGGTGGGTGGGCTCAGCATCCCTGGTCCCAGGCACCTCGGGCAGGGTGTGTGACCATCCTGGCATCACCAAAACCATCTTGGGCACAGCAG